ACCTGTGCTCATACTGTTGACCTAGCAGGATTGTTTAACATTGTAACTTTAGTACTTATGATGACGAAAATAGGATGGCCAATAGTGTAAAACGTTGTAACTGACGTTGCTAAACGATACGCTAGAAATTTTTAACTATTGACTTATATTTTGAAACTTTTATTATGCCACTTTGGCAAAGTGGCATAATAAAAAAAAAAGTGACTTTGCAGATAATAAAAATTTACATAGATGATGTAATCATATTATGATGTAAAAATTAAAAATGTCGTTGGAAGGATTTTGGAAAATCTAAGTTTTCCGGGAAGAACTTCTATGTGTTCTCAAACTTATTAGTAAGCATGATATAAACGTGGGAAGAAATACAATGTCCGAAGAAAATATTCCACTGGTTTTCAAGGTAGAACCATGATATTTTGAGCTCTAAATTCAATATTAAAGTTTCTTCCAACCTCCCTAACACCCTGTATATTATATGGCAGCGAATAGCACACATGCGAAATTGCGAAGTCAAGGGAAAAGGCTGCCTAAAACACACATAAAATCACACTGAGTCTTTTAAAACTTATTACCAGCTAAACAAACCCAATAACCGAATTAATTTTATATTCATATGAAAATATTTCGACTCCGATTCGCAAAATATTCTAACGCATCAGCGGCCGAGGCAGAGACAACTGGAGGTCTACTCTGAAAATAAAATGAAGTTTCGGGTCTATCTGTCACCGTCGCTCATGCTGGCATCTCGCTTTGCGCGAGAGGGATGGCAACATTCGAAACTTCGGATATCGTTTTTCGGAATACTCCGCTGGGTTTCTATTGTGCGTACGCGTTAAATATTGATACGATATAATAATGCAGGCGAAACTAAGTACTAGGTGAATGCACGGAGGCGCACGCGTCGTTTTTATTGTTAAAGCGACGCGCGCGCATGTTTGTTGGATCAAACTGACATATCACCGGAAGAAAGTGTTAACAATTACTATTCTTCATTCACTGCCATTATAATTTCCGTTTTTACCATCAATCCCTAATTTTTAAGTGACCCCTATGTAAACAAAATTCCTGTTATGTGTTACCATAGGGGTCAGAAAACGGGCATAACTCTTACACCCGTATTCACAAACATTAAGCTATGAGGACTCACAGTGCGCGTGGACGCACAGGGTGACACACGAACCAATCACAGAGCTCTATTCAACGCTGTGCGTTCAATTTGCTGCTTCACATAAGCAAGCATCGTTTGTGAATACGGGCGTTATTGTTGTCATCTTTTATTAATTTATTTATTTATCTGTCATCCGCTTTGCACTGCACTGGGGAAAAGTCAATTTTTAACTTCGTTCGAACTCCTATGTTCTTCTGATTAATTTCGTTGCGGGTCCAATGACAGCTTAACTTTCTCCGGGACAAACTTGACCTGTAGCAGTTGGGTTTTATTTGCGGTCAAGCTGCAGGTGCTGTTACCTTAACATAGTTGATCAGCTGTGTGAACGAGAGGTGGGAATGGTTCAAATAATCCTCTACATAACTAGCGATTCGGATCAGTTTCAATTGCAAGATTGCAATTTTTACATAAAACTTAATCAATTTCTTACCTATATCTTTATCTTCAAACAGTATAGTTGTAATACGCATAACGGTATTACATCAGAATTAACGTTTCGGCACACTTTTTAAAGTATTTTACATGTATGTATTCAGTTTTTGTTCGTTCATTCATTTCATTATAATTGCTATCACTCCTGAATTATTTATAATGATCTATCACACTGAAATTTTCTTTCATTAATATTTTGCCTATTACGTAAATTATTTGAGTAATAATCATACCGATGAAACTGCGTATAATATTATGTAGAGTTACGAATAGTAAATGACGAGAGAAACTTACACGTGTATTATTTTTAATAACTGAATTTCTGGCCCACATTATTGTCTAAAGGCACGGGCCTATTCCCACCTCTCGTTCCCACCGCTGCAACTCCTGTGTAGCCAGGATCTACAGCTTGACCGCCATGAAAAACCCAACCAATGAAGGTCATCAATTTCTGGCCCACATTATTGTCCTAGGCACGGGCCTATTCCCACCTCTCGTTCCCACCGCTGCAACTCCTGTGTAGCCAGGATCTACAGCTTGACCGCCATATAAACCCAATCTATGAAGGTCAACCAATGATTGTCCTAAGGCAGTGTGACTTCGTAAGGTTTAACAGGGACGTGTAAAAGCGCTTTTTCATCATCATCATCATATAACGTCATTTAGCCTCCATTGCAGGAACACGACCCTCTCTAATTTAGCCTAGGCGCAGACCACCGACTTTTAGTTGGCCGATAGTTAGGCCCGATTCTAATTTGTATTAAGAATCGGCAGATACCAAATCTGTGTGTGCGCACTTTCATACATGTCCATTCCATACTGATTAACAGCCCGACCCAACTATCGGCCAACTAAAATCGGTGGTCTGCGCCTAGGCTTACCAGAGGCAAAATATGGCCTACCCTCCCCACTCTGGCCAGTTAGGAAGGCCTGATGTTTGCATCACCTTTACGATATCCACAAAATAATGTTGCATATTAATGATAATATCATCATTCCCCCTTTACTGACGGAAACGAATAAAAGACTAACAATAACGTGGCATAATGAGTAGGTTACTATTGCATGCAATTTAAATGAGTATTCATATAAGAAGTTCAACGAAGTGCACCTGATGGTAAACGATCAGTAATGAATATTGTGGCCTGTTTGGAAGCACCTGTTGTAAATGTGTAATTACGAAAATGGCAAATAATATCAATTTCGTATGATATGTCCGATTTAAACTGAGCTACAGCTACAGTTTTAGCTATGAAATGCCTTGACACTTTCTGCTAAACTCTTCTTCTTCTTTTATTATGGCAATGGCCTGCTAAACTCTTTTTAAAGGGCTTTAGACAGTGAATCATCATCAGTTCATTTAGTGTCCACTGCAGTAGCAAGGCACGACTCTTTCCAATTTACCAGAGTTAAAAGAAGGTAGATAGATAGATATTAATTTGCATCACCATAATGTAACATAGTGTAGATAGAAGGGCAAGGGGTTAGGGTAGATCTGGTGAACTCTGGTGTTTGCTCTCATATTTCTCCCATAGTTGCTTCTTAGGCTCTTAGCCTAGGCGCCGGCCACCGATTTTTAGTTGGCCGATAGTTGGGTCGGCCTGTTAATCAGTATGGAGATGTATGAAAGTGCGTACATTACACCGATTTGGTATCGGCCGATTCTTCATACAAATGAGTCGATGAATCAAAATAAAGTTGAGTTTGGGACTTTTATTATCGCATCGCGTCGTAGGTTTTGATTATTATACATTTTTATCGTTATTTCGGAACCACAATGAACTGACGTAGGTAGAACATGCACTTTTATCGCATTTTTTTTCTTATCGTTATCATTCTTTGTTATCCGGGTGCTAATCGCATTATCACAATGGAGTAAGGCACATTGTTGCTTGCTCTAATTTGTCACTGATAAGCTGATAAAACGTAATGTTCAGTGTGTTTTGTTTGTTGTTTCAACATGTTTAGGTTTACTCAAGTGTTTCTTTTTCATATTTTTGATAATCTCACACTCCGCAGACTGACTTTTAGCCTAGGCGCAGACCACCGACTTTTAGTTGGCCGATAGTTGGGCCCGATTCTAATTTGTACGAAGAATCGGCCATATCAAATCGGTGTAGTGTGCGCACTTTCATACATGTCCATACTAATTAACAGCCCAATCTAACTATCGGCCAACTAAAAGTCGGTGGTCTGCGCCTAGGCTTAGTCGACCGATAAGGTATTGGCCGATATAGGCCCCCAGAATACAAGGAAGGGCTCAAGTGCCAGACTTTTTCGACTAAACAGAGTAGGCTGCCTAGGGAAGTTCTTTAATATTGCAATGACCTTTTTTTAGATGAAAAAGGTCCCATGATTTAAATGACTTTGATGGGGCCCCCCACCAAATGTTGATATAGGGCCCGTCTAAGGCACGCTACGCCACTGGGCCGATACCAAATCGGTGTAATTTACGCACTCTCATACATGTTCACACTGATTAACAGCCCGACCAAACTATCGGCCGACAAAAGTATGTAATCTGCGGGGTAGTAATATCAAGATAAGCATAGCCAAATTGATAAATAGCAGCACAAAATCTGGGCTGCCAAATCCGGTGCAATATCATATCAGCCTGCGCTCTACATTTGCTGAATTCCATAGACAAACGAGATCTCGCTGACACGTAAGATTATTTTATCGTGCGGAAGTGCTCATAGCATTCTCGCGGGTCGTTTAGTTATGTAGATAGTGACACAACAGTCATTATTAAACTTTAAGCAACATACATGAGTTCTGAGAGAATGTATTGTGAATATGATTTATCTTAATTTTTAGTGCTTGGTTTACTTTGAAATTATTTAGCAAAACTGTAATATAAAATGTTTATTCAGTAAATAGAGTAAAATGATTAGACTTTTAACATCAGGTAAAGAATAATATTTTTTTAAGTAATATTTTTTTATCAATAATTTTGTACCGCCTACTATATTCTCAGTTTGGCCCTAAGGTTAACTGGAGGAGAATGCCAAATGTATTTTTTTAAATAAATAAAGATGAATGGAGGCACTAGCTTCAACACTGTTTTATAAATAATAATTCCATGCTACAACTTTTGTAAAAAAAAAAAAACAAAAAAGCTAGCCCTGAAAATTAAATTGGATTTTCAGCCTGAAAAGTGACGTATTTTATCAGAAATGTTAAATTATGACCTGAATTATTGGTTAATGGTGTCATTATCAAATTCAATAATTTTTGTATTTTTTTTTTCAATTAAGAAAACCATTTTGAAACCTACACTCCTAATTTTATTATTTTATTGATAAAGGTACACCAAAAGCTAAGCTAAAAAGTATCATAAATTTTATTATTATTACAGTTTTGTTCAGTTAAAATATACTAATATGTTTAGTTGACTTACGTTTTCCTGGTATATGTCTAGGACTCAGTGGTGGTCGGTCACCGTCCATGATGAAAGTGGTGTTCAACTCGTCCTTCGTTGCCAGCGTATTGTTGTTATACTTCTTGACACTCTCCGCCCAGTCCTGAATCCAGGTCTTATCCCCTTTGCACCGGTTCAGGCTTAAATACGACAACTTTCCTACTACTTGGTCTGGGGTTATGTCCGAAGAGACCCCGCTGTCGTCTCTCATGGCTTTCTGAGCGTTTTTCAATGCAGTGCTCTCAAATTTGGCATCGTCAAACGGGAGTTTGTTACTAGGCAACGATACAGGGNTTATCAGGCATGTAAAAAACGCTAAGGTGACAGTGGGATCTGGTGCTCGGAGGACTGCTGCGGAATATTATATGGTATAAAAAATATGATGTATGAGTATTGGCGATGTGGACTATCTTATTCTGAAAAAAGACAGCCCTGAGAGCCCAACGGAAAATATACCCATGGAAGACTATTATGATATGTGAACGCTAAAGTGTAACCTTGTTGGTGACCAAATAAATAAATATTGTTAGATATTCATAGGGACAGTGGACATGGTAGTCGAGACAAAATTCAGTACCAAATTAAAGATCGATATTGTCTATTTGAATAGAATTTGAATTACTGATATAAGGCCCGATTTATCCTACATGTGTTTTATGATGGTCACCCTATTGCAACAATCATAGTCGAAATTTTATAAATTGAACGAGTCGCCAATTTGCCTTCGGCATTTCACAGAACAGCGAGCGTTTGTAAACTGACGTCGCCGTTTGTAAAATGCGGAATCATACAATTTGCCTGCGACAGACAAACGAGATCTCGCTGACACGTAACATTATTTTATCGTGCGGAAGTGCTCATAGCATTCTCGCGGGTCGTTTAGTTATGTAGATAGTGACACAACAGTCATTATAAACTTTAAGCAACATACATGAGTTCTGAGAGAATGTATTGTGATTATGGTTTATCTTAATTTTTAGTGCTTGGTTTACTTTGAAATTATTTAGCAAATGTAATATAAAATGTTTATTCAGTAAATAGAGTAAAACGATTAGACTTTTAACATCAGGTTAAGAATAATATTTTTTAACTAATAATTTTAATTTTGTATTCAATAATTTAGTACTGCCTAGCCGCCTACTATATTCTCAGTTTGGCCCTAAGGTTAACTGGAGGAGAATACCTAATAGCATTAAGTTTTCCCCTTATGTACCGTAATTTATGAAAAGTTTTAAATAAATGAAAGATGATTGGATGCACCAGCTTTAACACCGTTTTATAAACAATAATTCCATGCTACAACTTTTGTAAAAAAACATAAAAAATCTAGCCCTAAAAATTAAATTGGATTTTCAGCCTGTTAAAGTGAAGTTATTAGAGAATGTTAAATTATGACCTGAATTATTGGTTAATGGTGTCATTATCAAATTCAATGAAGAAAACCATTTTGGAACCTATTATTTTTAATTTTTATTTTATTGATAAAGCACCAAAAGCTAAGCTAAAAGGTATACATTATTATTAGGGTTTCAGTTAAAATATACTAAATAAAATATTATGTTTAGTTTACTTACGTTTTCCGGGTATATGTCTAGGACTCAGCGGTGGTCGGTCACCGTCCATGATGAAAGTGGTGTTCAACTCGTCCTTTGTTGCCAGCGTATTGTTGTTATACTTCTTCACACTCTCCGCCCAGTCCTGAATCCAGGTTTTATCCCCTTTGCACCGGTTCAGGCTCAAATACGACAACTTTCCTACTACTTGGTCCGGGGTTATGTCCGAAGATACCCCACTGTCGTCTCTCATTGCTTTCTGAGCGTTTTTCAACGCAGTGCTCTCGAATTTGGCATCGTCAAACGGGAGTTTGTTGCTTGGTAACGATACAGGCNATACAGGGACGGATGTCTCTCTGCATAACCGGTGAACGTAGTCTGTCTGGTCTATTTCGGATTTGGCTAAACTACACCTCCTTCTGTACTGAATTGGAGGTTCAATTTTCACCGGGTTTTTAGAACTCAACACCCCTGATGTGGTCACCGAAGTAAAACTTCCCATATCCGGCTCCTCCTCATGTTTTGGTGGAGATTTAGGAAACGTTTTCTCTGTTATTGTCCTAACTCTGTTCTTAATTTTTTCAAGATAACTCCTAGTGGATTTTATCTGTTTAGAAGTCTGTGCTGCCAAATCGTGCTCTGTGGGAGATTCGTAGCAGCACGAGATTTCTAACACATTTTTGTCTTTAGAAACTTTGTTAGGCAAATCAAAGGTTTTGTTCGTTGATAGAGGACTACGGAGACCGGTGTCTCTTCTTGGTTCTTTCGTTATGACCCTGGGGTTTTGGAAGTCGAAGATCAGTTCAGGGTCCCTCTCAGTACTATGTTTTTTCAAGGAGTCTTCAATCGCTTCATCTAACAAATTAGCACCAAAAGTCCTGTCTATACTCATTCTAGCCTTTTGTTCTTCGGTGTAATTATCACCCTCGATTGTATACGTACCAGTGGAAGAATTATTCGATTGCTGATCAACATCATCATCAATGTACAACGGTTCAACTTTCGGTACACACTTTTTGAACAAATCAGGCGTTTCTGAAGATGCTCTGCTTTTACGGATTTGAGGACTCTTAACTGGTTCCGGTGTGGACAAGCCGTTGTCCGGTGTTAAGATATCTAATTCAGGACTAGAGATATCAGTGAGCATCACACCTTCAGGGCTCCGATCGATTATATCAGTCATGAGGGTTCTCGGTTGATAGCTAGCAGACAGGTTGCCATAACTAGGCGTTCTATGGACGTCTCTGGAATAGGAACTAGTTGGGTTCTTGATAGGCAGATTCAGACCTTGCCGCGAAGTGAAGTTCTCACTTCTCGACATAATGCTATCGACTATCGGGCTTTTGGACGTTCTTTTAGAGTGGACAGATTCGATTGGAGATTTGATATGTCTGTTGACCACAGGAGAAGTTGCGTGCATGCTTTGGGCTAGCGGACTGTGACGGAGTTTCACTGAGCCGGAGAGGTTGGAATCTTCTTGGTCAGAGGAGAAGTAGCCTTCGGAGTTGTATCCTTGTGCCTTTCTGGGCAGCTTGGCGCTCATCGGGGGCTTCTGGACCGCGGGGGCCGGTCTAGTTAGACTTGCAGACATAGACTGGACCCTCTGGTGCCTCGCTTGGGACTTTTTCGCTAACTCCTCGAGTCTGCGGTTGTCCACGGGCTTCGCGCTCCCGAAATCAATCGTGAACGCCATCGGGAAAGGCTTCGGAGTCGTTGGCTCCGACGAATCAGCTTTGTTTTCCTGACCTGCCGTAACATCGTTGATTTTACTACTACAAGGACTCTCCGACGAAGACTTCGAGATATGATCCGAAGCCGCGCTCTGGCCCTCCGACAGAGGGCTGGACACGTCCAGATCGACACTAGCACTCATGTTGTCAAGGTTTCAAACAGAAAAATGACATCATATCACAAAACCATTTCAAGGAATTTGAACACAGCCGTTTCGACACACGAACAAGGCGAAAGCGTAAAACACAGCACAGAGCACTTGATTTAAAAATAAAAAGATACTCTCGAAAAGTGGAACGAGAACACTAAACTAAAAAATAATTGTAATGAACTCCGCCTACTACATTCACGACCACGGACAAACGAGAGCGGATCGGAGAAATGACATGACAGGTGCCAATGACGTTCGGAGTGAAACTGGAAGTTTTTGCCCGTTGCACTGGTAACATTGGCCTTGTCACCAACCAAAAATAGGTGGTAAAAAATGTTTGCCTTTATCTCTGTGAATTTTTAGTAAACGTTATTATATTTATTTACCATTGCACCAGCGAATTTGATTATTTCGTTTATAAAATAAGGTAACGTAATTTAGTAATATTTTTTACTAGCAACACTACGTTCTTATGTCAAATTTTTATGTTACATCATACGCATTTACCGTTTCTTAAAAACCAATGTATTATATTGTTTAACCTCCAGAAAGCATAAAAAAAATATAAATTTAATTTTCATGTGTTTCTATGTTACAGATTTGCTGAAACATTGAAAATATTAATTAAAAAAGTAAATGAAGGTGTCTTGCATTCATGTTCAAGTCTAGAAGAAATGGAACGGACATAATTTTTTTTTTGGTGCTCTCAAATGTCACTTCATCTTTCACAAATGTCATAATCCTGAGATGAAACATGGCAGTTTCCGCGTTTTCCGAAGACGGAAAATATTATTCTAATATAAGTAAAGATGGTAGATTAAGGATATGGGACACAGAAACCAATGTGCTGAAACAGGAGTACACACCAAACCTCCATTTGAGCTCGCCACCGTCCTGTTTACAATGGTTAAGCGTCACGAATACGGCTGTAAGTACACACGTGGTTTTTTTGTGCATTATCTACTTGTATTTAACTTTTAGTACCTTCTTTATCCCAACACAATGTGTATATTTCATATTGACTCTGTTTTATAAAGTTTTGTCTCGAAAAATATTCAATTTTATCTAGAAAACAAGATAACCTATAACATAACCTTAGTAATGTACCTACGATACAAGATTTGCAACACCCTTACAGGGTCATAAGTTGAGACTAAGTTTAAGATCACCACCTATGTACACTTATGAAGCAATAAATAAATGATTATGATTATGATTATGATAACCTTAATTTCAGGGCTCCCCACAAAAAGGTGCAAAACGTAAACAGAGCATAAGCGAAGCACAATTCATAGCTTTAGGGACAACAAATGGCAAGATTCTTATGTACTCCGTGACACAGGCAAAAGTAGAAAACGTTATATCAGACGAAAAGAGTGGTTTCAATCAAAATATAACTGCACTGGATTGGCGCAGGAACTACGGGTTATTCAGTTGTAACAAGGCTGGTTTTGTGTACGAGTGGGATTTAAACAGTGGAAAAGTTAGGAATAAGTATAAAGTTACAGATGGTAAAAACAAACAAGGGAACAGTGTCAGTTCAATCAAAATAGTGCCTCATAATCAGGTGAGTGGTGTTTTTTTATATCTTATCTCAGATTGCAATGAAAAATAAGTCTTTTATCGCATACTAGTGCCAGAAAAGTTGTATGATCATTGCAAAGAATTTTTGTAATATTGTGCAATAAGTGGTGGTATAAACAAATAAACTATGTAACATAGACAACACAAAAGTAAACACAATCTAAAGTAGGGGTGATACTGAATTTACAAACATGAATTGAGTGTAATTACTAATTAGCATTTTGAAATTGTACTCAATTTATTTCTTTGGGAAATATTCTGTGGATTCATTACTGTAATGATCTCTTCATTTATACATCTATATTTTTTTCTTTTTCGTCGAGCAATTCCTACTCATCCTTGTGTGAAAAAATAGAAAATGATGAGTATCAAAACATTATTTATTATAAGTACTTACAGCTTGACGTTATGGCTGTTTTGCTACAGCTGTTATATTAATAATAAATGTACCGTTTTAACCAGATTGTTTGCCTACATTCTGTGACAAATATAAATGCAACTTTACAGAAAACACAAGCAAAATATTTAGTCACGTCGTCATGGCAAGTCTGCGTGTGGCGGCTCCTCAAAGGAGAGTCGACAGTGGTGCGGCAGCTGGGACACAACACGTCTGCGGGAGCGCTGCTGACCGTTGCACAACTTGAGAACAGCTGCTGGCTTATTGAGGGCTCACAGTGAGTGGACATCATCTTTTTATTGAATATTGCCATAATTTTGACTACCCTGCAGCTATATTCTTCTTTTATTAATGGTGATGAACTTGTGTATTTTCGCCACAAGGCACCTGCAGCTATCTATTGTCCATATTCTGTTGTCTATGTCTGTCTATTAACCCTTTTAGGGGTCTGTTCTTGATATTGCCACCATAATTTAAACTTTACAAACTTATCTTAGGGTGGCCAATAAGATTTTTTAAATACTTGTGCAATATTAACGAGATCAAGCTACTTACAGCCTGTGCCTGCAATATTGAGAAAAGTTTAGTATTAAAATAAGTGACTTTCTATTGCAATTATGTAATTAGAGTTACAGTACAAAAACTGTTCATTATTTTCTTATTTAAAACCTTTATTGCACATTATTATTATTATCAGTCAGAACACAAAAAATGAACTTAATGTCATTCACTTACAGTCATCATTTGGGCAAAACAGAAAGTTATAGCAACCTATACTGAACACAGTAAAACTCATCAAAACCAAATCCATTCCAGAACCGAGCGCCTCCTATCATTCTGGGACATAACCGTCACAGACGAACACCTCCCCCAACTGAACGGCAATGGAGACGACTCGGCCACCCCAAACAAAAGACAGAGACGGAAGAGCGTTACCACGTCGACTCCGTCGTACAACTTTGTGTTGGAAGACGCCCCTAAGTTTGTTGATGTGGACGTGAGGGCAGAGGGAGACGGCAATATGCTGCGGCTGGCTGCGGCCACGAGGAGCGGAGTGGTGCATTATTATGGGCATATGTTGAACGGGTGAGTTTCTACTTGGTATTTTCTGTGTTATGTATTTATTATGTGTGTGTGTGTGTGTGTGTGCATCCAATTTTTCCCTGCCTTGTTTGTTATGTCATCGGCCCATCTTTTCTTATATAGCCAGCGACAGGGAAAGGTGGAAAAAGATGGAGGAGGCTTTTACCCAAGTGGGGCCACAAGCAAGAGATACAGATTAATTTAATCAAACTGTAAAAATGTGGAATATAAAGCTATAATAATAATAATAATCAACATGCCACCCAGTATAATTTACACTCTACAAAAAGCCACTATCCTAAACACCTGCCGATGCCACCCAGTATAATTTACACTCTACAAAAAGCCACTATCCTAAACACCTGCCGAATTACTAGGAAATTTTTATCATCTAATTTAACGACCACTGCCTTACATCCTATTTCGCTTGACTGAGGTCCGCGTAATAGGTTAACTACCCAGGCTTTTATTTATAAAAGAATGGAGGAAAAAAGACTAGAGAAATAATAATAATGTATTTATTAACATAAGAAAGTATTTAAACATGTTTTATCTATTGTTTAATGATGACCCATAATGCTGTTAACTGTCTAGCTCAGTGGTTCCCAAAGTTGTCTGGGCTACGACTCATCTAATACAAATTCCGAAACTCGGGACCCACCTATAGGAAATTTCGTCCGCTGCCCAGCGGTTGGATGGGTAGGGCCGTGTGTCGTTCCACAGGCAGGGCCCACTCAATGTTCGCTGGTGACCATTTGGGAAACCCTGGTCCAGCTTACACTGAGTTTCTTGTGGCTGCATCTTTTCAGCAGTAGCCTAATTATTTTTTTTTTACCCTGAAGCAGTTTAAAAATTTATTTGACTGAAATTCATATTCTTTATTGTTTTTCTATTACATTATGATATTAAAATAAAAACGCAAACACGTAATGTGATAGCGCCTTTTATTCAAAAGCTTAATTCCAATTTTTTTTTTATTATGGATGCTAAATAGTAAATACATTTCTTGTGTTACGAGTTGTCTAGCGGCGAGGTTCGAACTAGCGGTCCTTGGTTTTCGAGTCGGCCAGTCCGACCCTTTTACCATTCGGTTATCGTGGCTTCTTTTTTAATTCCTGCAAGTCTATACTGTCACTAACGAGTCTCAAATCTCTTCCAGCGCCTCAGCGAAACCCATCAAGCCGTCAGTGACAGTGCAGGTGACGACAGCAGAAGCGTGTCCGCTGCCGCTGCTGGCGTGCCGGCTGGCGGGCGCTGAACTCGCGCTGGCGTACACAGACGGACCCGCTGTGGTCTTCGAGAAGATTGTGAGTAGGCTCTTTATTGCCAGTTTACTTCATCATCAATACTCAATAGTTTATTTTGCATAACCACATTAGCATTCACATTTTAGGTCTTACAATTTAGGCAGTTATACAATGTGGACCCAGTTAGGGCACAGCAACTTTAGGAAGGAGACAGAACGACGATCTTAATAGTTTCAAAAGAAATAATTTCAGCTATTAGACGTCCACTGTTATAGACCTCAGTTACTCCGTGACCATGACGCTTGCAGCAGTGCGGAAATATCGGAAACTCAAAGTTAAGGGACATGGTAGCAATCCCGTTAGTAATAATTATGTTTATTGCCAGCGACAGGACGTCCACTGCTGAACATAGGCCTCCCTCAATGTCTCCAACACATACCGGAAAACGTAGCGTGGGATGTCCACCCACAAGGTGGACCGACGATATCATAAAGGTAGCAGGAAGGTGCTTTATGCAGGCCACTACCAACTGGCCAATATGGATGGAAAACATTAGGGGAGGCATGTTCAGCAGTGGACGTCCTATGATGGCTGAAATGATTATGATGATGTCACACATGATTACAAAATAACAAATAAATGCCCGGATTTTCCAATATTTCATGAAATCTGATTGGTTATTTATACTAATATTATAAATGCGAAAGTAACTCTGTCTCGTCTGTCCTGCTTTCACTAAACCGATTTTGATGAAATTTGGCATAGAGATAGTTTAATTGAGTCCCGGGAAACGACATAGGATAGTTTTTATCCCGGTTTTTGAAACAGGGACGCGCGCGATAAAGTTTTTCTGTGACAGACAAAATTCCACGCGGGCGAAAGCTAGTTCAAAATATTTCTCTGCTCCGCCTTGGAGGAAGCCAGGCCTAAAATACAGTGTTTATTCTAAATGTTTCAAATCTA